TTATCAAATGATGATTAATGTTTTTTATAATATCATTATCAAATGATATAAAACAATTTAGCAAAAAAAAAAAAAACAAATTAATATCAATTCGATTTTCTCCGCCCTTGTTTTTAATATTTTTTGCATTTCACAGATGACGTAGCGGTGAGAAAAATTCCAGAAAAATCAAAAAAATTCGAAAAATTCAATCAATAAAATATAAATTTATTATCAAAAAATGATAGTGAATGAAAAACAAAATCGATTCTAAAATGAATGATACAAATATTCGAAAATTATAATCTACATAAACAATTTTTTTTATAATCATGCGAATTTTAACAAAAAAAAAAGGAAAACAAAATATATTTACACATAAATCAATTGCAATTTGGTGAGAAAAAAAAATTTTAGTAATGGCCAAAAAAAAAGTCTGAAAAACCAAAACGAAATATTATGTTTCATATGAATAATATTGAGAATTGAAATATCATTTTATAGCCAAAGTGATAATAGTTAATGGATAATGAATGAAAATTTCCGAAATAGATTCAATAGATTTTTTTTAAGATGTTATAGAATTTGTGTGAGTGCTTAGATTAGGGTATTTTGTTAGATGGTTTTGCTAAATAAATTGGCACTTTTCCAAAATATAAATTTGAATTATTGTTTCTATCACAATAACAACTCGTCATCATTATTGTTTAGATTACGCAATGCTGTTTCATCAATATTTGATGATCTATTCATTAACATGTTACATAGATCAGTCATGACAATATCTTTACATGCATTCATATCACAATCGATATCCAATTCCAATGCTAAATGTTCGAATCCAAATTTCCGTAGAAAATCACCAATGATTATGGGAGATTTTATCAACTCAAAACAAGAGATTTCATTAGATTTTTCCAAAATTTTGACATTACCAAATGTATTATAAAGATAGTATTGAAACAAGGTAACGACTGCCAAACATTTAACCGATACAGGTAATGAAAAATTATCCGGTCTTGGTGATACGATAAATGATCTTAGAACTTCAACGCCGCCATCTTTTTCCAATAATGTACAATATTTATTGCCTGAAAAATAAGTAAAAATTTTTCATGAAAAAATTAAAATGAATTATATCAATTGGATAAATCTTACTATGAACACGTGTTAAATTGGCCAATGCCCATACAGCCCAATATTGTGCTTGCCATGAAATAGACAAAACACGAAGTAATCGTAGAATAGGTTCGAATGATCTACAAATCATTAAAATTTATGTCATTAATAATCAATATTAATTACATAAACAAAAAAATTAATTTACCTATAATTGATATTTCGTTTTGAATTAATCTCCCATCGTGAAATAGCACATTCCATTCGAGCAAGCATTTCATCACGATTACAAGTGGGAAGATGTCGATTCCATATTTCGGCACCATCCGATGCAATATGGGCAAGAATACCAGCCGAATTATAGCTAACTTCAATACCGTCAGATTGTGAATCCAAAAGCTGTACGAATCGAAAAATATAATCATCTTTCATCAATCGATATCGAAGATGAGCACATTCGGATACATTTCCCAATAATCCCATCATGTTTCGTAATAATTCTATAACATCGATAACCGAAAAATCAATAAAAAATTTTGTTCTAGTAAATTAAGTAATCAATGTACCTGGATGATCAGGAAATTTTTCCATACAAGTGACAAAAAATTCCATTCCATTATGATTCAAAAATCGTTCACAATTTATTGGAGTTTCATCTAATCAAATAACAAAAAATCATAAATGTTCAATTTGATTTCTAAAACTTACCTGTAACATTCCACATTGTACTCCACGCTGTTTCCATTACTTCATCACAAAGATTACGATTATAACGAGATTCGATTAAATTCAACATTTTTTCAATAGCACCCAAATTGCCTACAATTGTTTTCTGTTCTCCTTCCACTTGACAGGCTAATAAATTTAGCAAATAGATTCCTGAAAAAGAAAAAAATCATGAATTGTTTTAAAATATCATTTAATTTGCTCAATAATTCTTACCTAATCGCTGTACAAAATCATCATCATCCATTCCGACAATGTACAGAAGAATATCAGCCAAACGAGTGTATTCAGAAATCACATCGGCTGGTATCTGAAAATGTATTAGATTCAGACAACCATTTCGTAGCATCTAGAAAAATTAAATAAGATTTTTGTTTGACAAAAATTTAAAAAAGGAGTGACATACTGTTTGATCATATCTAAATGTTTGCATAGCATCTAACAAACGAGTAACAATTAATTCTTTGATTCTTCTACCCAATATTGGTTTTGCTTCGTCTGATTTAATGACATAAAACAATGTAGCCGAAGCTGCCATTTGAATCATTTTATCATTAGGATGACGGCCAAGTGAACAGACTAGAATTTTAACAGCTCGTTCCAAATCATGATGGCCATCCTAGAGAATTGCATCAAAAATTTAATTTTGCGATTTTCTTAAACAATAAAAAATACCTCATAACGAAATATATGAAATAATTCATTTAAACATTTTTTCAACATTTCTGGTCGATTCATATAGGCCTCACATGAATTCAAGACTAAATCTTCGAAATTTTCTCCAGCAATTTTTATGGCTGGAATATGATGTCGAGAACTTGGCTCAACATTTGTATTGAAAATGCCCAAAAATTCTAATGGATTATTTTCCCGTTCAGCTAGACCGGTTACGATTCCAACTAAATAAAACAAGTCAAACATCAATATCATCGATAATGAATAAAATTACTTACCAGCTATATTTGAACCGGAAATATCGAGTGAGACCAATTTTGGCAATGATGAGATGAGAGTTCTAATCGGAATTGTAGGCATTTTAGGATCACGTGTTGCTGTTGTTTGATCTCCCGAATTAGAAATGTCTAATACTCTGTTTTCATATTTGAAACATTAAAGATTAGATGAATCAAATAATTTTAAATAGAAAATAAACATACTTCAATGATTTAATGTTACAAATCGAATCAATTACTCTATAAATTTCTTTGACATTGTATAGAATCAATGTTTCTAGATTCGACATTTGTATTAATGATCGACCATCATCAATAGATTGACATTGACTTAAATCCAGATGAGTAATTCTATCGAGATATTTGGAACCGGCAAAAAATTTCTCTTGCATATCTACTGGCCATTCATGTATAGCGATTCGTTTGAGATGATTAAAATCTCGATTCAATATAATTGATTGACGAAGTTCTGGACGCATTTCTTCAAGATTTTGTGGCATTAAACCAGGTCCAACAGTCAATGATTCAAGTGATGATGGTGACCACGTGACGACTTCAACAAGTCGTACATAAGGATAGCCTGGTGTTTCAATGCGATATACATGATACGGATACATTTCGAAACGAAGCATATCTTCCGAATAATAAAGCTCTGAAGCTACATCTTCAGATGTTGTTGTTTCAGTATTGTACACTAAACTTAAATAATCAAAATAATCATATTCAGGAGGACAGTTTTTCGGATGTAATGGACAGGTAATCTCGTGTGTATTCACTTCAAATACATTAACATCGAGTGAATCTCGTGAATCATCCTCGGATAATACGAATGACATTGAAGAGGTGGGTGAAAAATTTCTTGGTGATGATTCATCCTTGACATTTTGATTAATATCAATCGTATTGACTGTCGATGATTTCGAACATTCCGAATTATTTTCATTATGATCATTTTCGAAAGTATTATGTGAATGTGGTCGAAATTTTTTCAAAAATTTTGGAAACTTATGGCTATTGCTGTTTGATGTTGATTCTTCCATCAGAGCGGCCAAAGATTCTCCGGGTAAATTATTAGTTTCGAAATCATAGAATGCAGCTTCAGCACAACTTGACAAAATTGGACATGATGACGAAGTAGCCGCAGCTGAAGTCATTGATTGTGATGACAATGTTGAATCACCGATAGAATCCACTCGTGTTGGTTGTAAAGGTGGGAATTCTTCCGAATTCAATCCATCAACCGCATTATTTCTTGATAGTAACGTGGGGAATGCATTTCCCGATAACTGAGATGATGTATGGATTCGTGGAAAGTATTGGTCACAAGAGCTGAGCAAACTTCGCCGACACATTGATCCGAATGGATATGAAAGATCATTGAATAATGGAACATGACGGCTTTTCAAATTGAAAACCGAATATGGAAACGAATTATCAAAATATGATTCATCGTCATCTTCGGGAGCCGAAATATCCGTTTCAACATTCATGTCAATTATTGATGATTGTTTATTATTATTATCATTAACAAATTTTGATGGACAAACCGATGATTTGGATAGAAATTTATCATCATAAGAAAAATAACGGCCATAATATTTACTGAATAGATGCATTGAATGATAGATTCCTTTTGGTAAAATCATAATTTTTTCTCGATTAATACCGCTACCATAACAATAGGGACATTGATTTGGTTCGAGATTTTCATTAGGAAATTGTGAATTATTTTTAGATCTTATAATCTGTGAAGCACTAATGAGTGGATATTGAATTTCATTCAGATGATAAGTTCGGTGGTCATCGATTAATCGATCATAACATGCATACGCTGTAGCTTCCATATCGAAAAGAAATTCTTTGGCAAAATATGGATCACAAAATAGGCCCATTTCACGATTTAATTCATAGTTTGTTTTCGGTATTCGTGAACAAGAATGTTCAAATGTCGTTTGTAAAGAATTAATGAAAACATTTTCATCGATTGTTGGTTGAGAGTATTGTGGACATTCTTTACGTAACATGTATGAATTTTGAAGATACGATTCGGGACATGCTGTTTTATAGTTTTTATTTATTTCGGTTAGAATTTTGCCTTTATGATAAAATTTTCGAATGACAAAAGGATAATTTTGTCGTACCAATGATCGTGGAATTTGGCATGGATGATCAGCAGGAATTTCATACACTGTAACTAATCGACATAATTTTTCAACATCATGAACTTTTAACAATGTTCGATTGACTTGTAATAAAACATTGGAAGATAATCGGCTACATTTTGAAAGATTTAATGATCGTAATGTTTTGCCTTGCGCATCAATAAAATCAGTCAATTCTTCATCGGTTATATCCAGATTACTTAGATTAGCCGAAACTACTGAACAATGTTTCGTACTTAATGCGGATAGAAATTTGTTACAAACTTTTTTTGAACGATAAATTCGAAACAACTACGCCAATTCAAAAAAATAAATTATCAATTAAAGGAATATTTTAGAAAATTTTGATCTTACCTCGATTAGATTGTCACAAATTTCTGATGGTAAATGTTGATTAATAGAAATTTTCGAAATATTTTTTACAATATATTTTGCACATAAAACATATAATGATAATGGTGAATTGTCAGTAATATCTAATGGTTCAAGTGGACCCTGATAAGAATCCACAAATGGAACCGGATGAATGGGTACGGTGAATGACATTTTTTGTTATTAATTTTTTTTTTGGACCAATGAATTTGGATGATGATTGATTGATTAGTTGGTTGATGTTCACAACAAAACGGATTATTCAGATTTTACTATTTTGTAAAAAATCTGAAAAAAAATAAGAAAAAAAAGTAGATTTGCAAAATGCAATAAGATGTTGATCACATCATTCGATCGTGTTTAATAAGTGTTTTATTGATTATTCAATCATAAATTTTGATGAGTATACTCATCATTGCTGTCGTCATATTATGCGCATTCAATTTTTTTTATGATTATAATTATCGAACGATGATGATGATGTCGATGATTTGGTCTATTTAAGGTTATGAAAAAAAAAACAAAATGGAAAATCAATATTTCAAAAAAAAATTTACTGAATAAACTTACAAATTTACAGTTGATGATCAAATCAATTAATTAAAGAATCAGTCTGAACGTTCCAAAAAATTTTCCAAAAAAAAACCTTGAATATAAAACGAAACGAAAAAAAATTTCATTATAAATCAAACAACTTATTTATATGATAAACGGAAAGAAGCGAAAGAAAGCTGCTGAAAGCAGCAATATGATGATCGGATCATAATGAACAAAATACTTTTGAATCGATTAATACCTCTAGAATTTTGTTGTTGTTTTTTTTTGAACAAAATTAATAAACAAAAAAAAAATGACGACAACTGCACATCATTGACGAAAAAAAAGTATGTGTAAATGTGAGTTGAGATTGAGATAAGAAAGAGAGAGAGAGAGAGAAATAAAAATTTATTTAAGGAAAATGTAGACGGAGAAAATTAATGATTCTCATCGCAAGTAAGTAACGACAACGACGTCAATTGTTTTGTATATTGACAACAAAACAAAACAAAAAAAATGAAAATTTCTCTGGAACCATTTCATTGGAACAAGATAATCATGAAAGAGAGAGAGAGGAACGATACTTTCGAATGTTTTGTTTTGGCTTCTTTTCAGTTTGGTTTTCAGTACTCAATAGTGGTGGGAGTGCGAGAGAATAAAATTTGTCACAATGTCAATAGACAGAAAGAAATTTTTTTGTTTGTTTGAGAAAGTTTTCAAGAGAAATTTTTTTTTAATTATAGAAAATGTCTATAGGTCTATCTGACAAAAAAAAACAAGATAAAAAGGAGAGAAAGTGGACGTATTGGGATATTTTTTTTCAACAATATCACCATTATCAAATTGAAAATAGAGAAAACCTTTTTGAATTATTAAATGGATGGTGATGATGATAAAAAACTTACTTATTATGAATGATGATGAAAAGATCGATAAAGAGAGATTATTAAATATTCTCTTTTCTCTCTCTCTCTCTCTCTTCTTTTTTTTTCTTTTTCACAAAACAAAATTTGATAAATTTTATCAGGTGAAGGTCAAAGGTAAATAATGTTGATGACGATGAAAATTTTCACAAAACAAAATGAAAACAAAAAAATTAAAGGTCATCAAATTGACATTAAATCAATTAGAGACGATATAGTTTAATTGGTTGTTTCGAACACAAACAAAAAAAAAAATTTACGAATGAAATTCACTTTCACATTTTAATCAGAAAAAAACAACAATAATAATAAAATGAAATCAATAACAAAATGATAATGATGATAATGTTGTTGTTTTTTTTTATTTTGGTTGTTGTTGTTGTTGTTATTTTACACCAGAAAACAGAAAACAAAATCCAATCTAATCCAAATCCGATCATAATAAACAAAACAAAAATATTCCTTGTCTCTCTCAATACACTGTTATATAGAAAAAAAACGAAGTCAGCTGCTCAATTTTTTTTTGAAATACACCAACAAAACGAAAAAAAAATGATCCAAAGCTCAAAATGATTTTGGTGTAATGGAAACAACAGCAAAAAAAAACATTGGAATAAATGAATGAATAGATATATGGTAGTGGGCGCATTCTCAACAACAAACGACTACGACGACAACAACAACAACAAAAAATGTTTATTTGGCCCTGGTCGTATCCTTGTTGTTACATGTTTTCTTTTTCTTTTTTTTTGTTGAATGATTTTATCGCCATCTAGGATGGAAATAGTTTAATGTGGAAAAATTTTTTTTTCTTTGAAAATTATACTGATAAAATTGATAATTTTACCTTTTTCTTTTTGGTTAAATTATCAATTAGATTTCCAAAATTTATTATTGCACCGAGAAAAAAAAATGAAAGTAAACAAACTAAATTAATATACCGGATATATCGGCAAAATTGTCAACATGTTTTTTGTTTTTGTTTTTGAAATGAATCTATTGTTGATTTATAATTGTTTGTTTCGTTTAAACAAAACTATATTGGAAAAAAATTGACCGATAAATAAAATCATTAATCAAATCGAAATATATATTTTTTTTTGGTCAATATTCGAATTCAAATTGTTGACTAATTTTTCATTCATAAAATTTTTTTTCCACCCTTGTTCATTCATAATTGTTTACTCAACTACTACTACTTCACATTATCGAATGTTATATTTTCGGCATGATATTTTAACTAATATAATGCTGCTAGCATTTATCAACAACAACAACAAAAAAAAAGGATAAAAAATAAGATATCCTCCTCGTTACCTAATTACAGTGATGATTCGATCGATCAAAAAAAAAATCGAAAACAGTTTTTTTTTTGATAGACAAAGTTTTACTGTAAATTCAACTATCATCATTCAAGTACATGTATATATATAGTTTTGGTTTTTATAAATATGGTTTTCTTGTTGATTTAATTCAATCATTAAAAGAAATGGGATGATTTCGATTGTAAAAAGCTTCGATTTTCAATCGATTGTAATCATTATCGGTTTACATTGATGATATACACCTCTTCTTTCAAACAAACAATTACAACAATTCTGTATTTTTCATTTTTTTTCATCATACAATAATTCTTATGAATACAAAGTTTGTTACATTGAATCGTTGAATTCTTCACCAAAACAAAAAAAAAAAAAAAAAAACAATGAATTCGAACAAAAAAAATATCGAAT